AGAGTGATATGCCCCCCAACACACTGTAGAACCCCTCTGCACTATTTAGTAAAGATACTTGTGTTACTGAGCATGTCCTCTGCAATTACTCTGTTAGCAGAAAGGCTTATTTCCAACTTTACTTATATGTTTACCTCTCTTTCACAAAGCTTGGGCAGCCTTCATTTTTCCACGAGTTCCAGTTTTCTTCAGTGTTTAGTATATGCTGAAAAAGGTATAGAAATACCCAATATTAATAAACACTTCCACCTTCAAAATCAGCATCTGAATTTTTTGTCAGTGCGCTACTATAAGCAACTAAGACTGGACTGTTTAACAATCAGAGGGGGATATTTTCAACTTCTTTATATACTGGATACTTCTTTGGGGAACATCATTTAAATCACGCTTGTCCAACATGCGGCCCACCAAGCCATTTTATTTGGAGCTGCAGTGGTGGTTGCACAGAGCCGCTGTCACAGAGCGTGGGGTGACGGCAGTGGCACGGAGTGCGGAGCCGCTGGTGCGGAGCCGCGGCGGCGGCGGCAGCAGTGGCGGGGCCGCGGCGAGGTGGGCAGGGCTGGCCCTCGGGACCCAGCCGGCAGTGAGGGGAGGGGAGCTACTTACCCCCTCGGGGCCCGGGGGAATGGCCCGCTTCAAGCCAGTACCACTGCCCTGCCCTGCCCCACAGCAAGGCAGCGCCTACTCCCCCGCCCAGTCTTCCCCCGGGCGCTGTGGCTCTCTGGGCCTGGCCTCCTGCGCACAAGGCCCCGAGGGGGCTGCTTCTCACGTGCTGCTGGGGACGGGAGGAGCCCGGCCAGGTCTGCACCGGCCAGCAAAAGCGGCAGCGGAGCCGTGTGCCACTCGGGACAGGATGAGCCTGCACCGGTCAGTCCCAAGCAGCACATGGGAAGCCGGCTTCAGCTGCATGCTGCTTTTCCGGGCCGGTGCCGACCTGGTTCTGCTCAGGCGGGTCCTGCAGCAACATGTCAACCCAGGCATGGCACTGGCAGGCTGGGCGGGCCTCAGGTTAACCCTGGCTTGGCCCCGCGGCTTCTCCAGCACCAGGTCAACCTGGTTGTAGCCAAGCGGCTCCTGCAGCACCATGTCAACCCAGGCATCCATGCCATGTCAACCAGCACCATGTCAACCCCTGCAACTTCATTCAGCAAAGGTCACATGACATCACTTCCTGATATGATACCACTTCCTGTGACGTCTCTGAATATGGCTTGCCAGCCCACTGGGTGATAAAAAGTTTGTGATTCGGCCCCACATTCAAAAAGGTTGGACACCCCTGATTTAAACTAATTCTTTTGCACAGTCAGTGTCCTTTCTCCCCATCCCCCATTATAGTCATGTGTGTCTGGGGGATGCATCCATCTGGGATGCCCAAAACTGTCCCAACAACAGGTAAGAGAAAAAGCTTTTGAACAAACTAAGAAAATGTCACCGCAAACCAACAGAAACTGGTATGGAAAGTCTAAGGAAGGTATAGCACCAGAAACTACTTTTACCTCATGTTTTTTAGCTGGCTAGATTACAAACTGATGGCATTCTTTTATAGTCTAGTTGGACCCTGTTGTGACATGCAATAGCTTTCATTTTTAATTACTTACCTCTACCATTTTTGAGAACCTTTCCCCATCTGGAGGGTTTTCTGAAAGAAGCTGCAATTGGAAGAGATCATATTTTACTACATATGAACTATTTAGTTAATATATTTGAAAGAAGGTAAGCAAAGGAAACCAGGGTTACCGATTGATGGACAGCAGATACAATGTCTGGTATTTCTGAAGATTCCAAGAATTCTTTCAAATTTGCAAAGATAACATAGACGAATTTAAACAGAAAGCTCCTGCGCTATAGCTCTGTGTTATCAGCACACCAAACACATGGGAGAAAGGAATCTATTTTATTACAAGAAAAGATTTAGAGCAATTGTTTGCCTGACTCTTTTGTACAAACCTGGTAAACTGCTTTTGTAGTATCTTCAATCCAGAGGGATTGTTCATCAGTTAGAACATAGTTTGAACTGGAGTGGGAAAGAAAAAAAAAAAAAAAAATCACTAAATCAAAATAGCCTAGTCCATGAGGGATCTGTAATCTGTTATTACAGTATTACAATTTTCTAGATACAAAGGAAGAAGTTATGTAGTAACGTAGCAGCATTTCAAAGTCACCAATTAATGTACAGACTAAAGAATGAACACAGGCATCTCAAACAACTTGCGGGGGGGGAAGGGAGGGAGGCTGTAGACTTTCTGGGACAAGTGTCACTGCTTTCTTAAGGTGCCAAGAATCTCAACAGGACTTGCAGGTGGGAGATGGAAGGGAAAATGAATATTTGCAAGATCTGTGACTTGGTCCATTAGCAAGAGGGGACTATAATATGAACTGAAATCTCATTTTCATTTCTCAGTGGTGAAAAAAAGAAGTCTACTGTCCAGTGCAACTCTGGGAATAAGTCCCCTATTAAATCTGTAACACACAGCATAAAGAATTTGTTGGTTGGGGGGTTTTTTGTCAAGCATTAGCTAACTTTAAGGGTTAATTCAGCTATGATTATGGCTAATTAACCACAGTTTGAGCAGAAAATTTCCTGTAGTCAGAAGAGTGTTTAATTACTTGGTAACATTTCAAAAACATCAGCATTATATTGAAATACCTAGAATATTTTTTGGTGCCCTGTTCATTTTATTTCAGTTCTGGTCCACATTGGGAACTGAATATTGTGTTGGAATCACACTCTAAGACAGTAATGTCTGACGGACAGGGCACTGCCCTATGCTTCTGGAGAACTGGGTTCTACTCCTGGCTCAGGGTGGTAATGATATTAACCTCCTTTAAAAAGTGCTTTGAAATGTGCTGATAAAAAGCACCAACAGTGAGATGCTGCTGTAAAGGCTACTGTCATGTCTATACACACACACACACACACACACACAGCGCACAGCACAAGAAATGAACACATAACTAAACAGTACATTTCTGTTCTACTTTAGACAGCTGTGTTCCAACACATCTAAAACTGGGTCTTTTAATATAGGATTTTGCTTCAGCCACAAGGATATTCTACATCTTTGCTGTTCTATGGCACTGAAAACTGGGCGAACGTGTGGCACATCACCATTGATGACACAATCTACATGTTAATCGTGACATAAACATAACATCTACCAGAGGCTTAAGGGGCCTTAGATCTTGCAACAAAAGCCACACAGAAAAGTCAGATTTGCTTGCCAGATCTGATCTTAAGTTCTACAGAATCTTATAACAGGAGCTTTAAAAAAATCCTCTATTCTGCTTGACCTCAGAACCCAATATCTCCCACTAAGATCAGGATTTCTATCTTACCTTTTAAATTTGACCTGTCCTTTTAGATACTGAAATAATATCAGATACTGCAACAGGATGTGACGGCGGAAGTTACTGTCACTCAGCTGCAAATCCATGAGCTATGCAAGAGATTTTGGTTTAAAAAACAAAACAGGTCACTAAGCAGAAATGACTCATCATGTTTCATTACTCTCATTTTTAGGTACTCTTCAAACTTTCAAGAAGACATAAAATATGCCTAGCTTTGATAAGCCAAGTTGGGGCTACTACTATAGAAATCTGATTTTATTAAAGCGTACCAGAATCTGTATTCTAGGTTGCCCATATGTTCAAATTACTCACCTCTGGCTGGAGTGATTTAGTTGGGGGTGGCCCTGCTTTGAGCAAGGGGCTGGACTAGATGACCTCTTGAGGTCCCTCTCAACCCTCATTTTCTATGATTCTATAACTGTTTACTAGTTGAGGCTATTGCACTCCATTTTTACTAATATGCGCCTTGGCTAAGACACTGCAGGATTTGTTGGTTGGGTGATTATTAAAGTGAAATCTAAGTGTGGAGAACAATATAAAAAGAGCAGCATATAGTCTCGTATGGTCCTTAAACATCCATTATAGCTGTTTTATGCAGCTGATCTGTACAACATTCTACCTGGGACATGACTCACTTCTACAAGTACAAGAATTTGGATTCACTCACTATTTTAACAATCTATCATGTCTGATGATATAAACTAGAAATGGGGCTCTCAACACAATGCAATGATTTCTCATATGTAAAGTAACAGCATGGGACATTTTCTTTTCTCGTGCGCCAGAAAGGGTAGCTTCTTGTATTAGTTTGAGACCACAAGACCCCAAGAACAAGGAAAAAGCTCAAAAAAGAGTTATTCAAGAAACAGAGGTGTGTATTACTCCAGGAGATACAATATTTCAGGCTTTAACCACATAAGAGAACACAGCAATACAAAAGCATGCGATTCTTTATAGTAATGTTTATAGAATTCAGTTTCTTAGAAAATTGCAAAAACAGCTTCAAAAGAACTGTATAATAAGGCAGAAAATACAGCTCAAACCTAAGTGCATGCTTATTTTGAGTATAAAAATTCAGCTCTACATGCAATAACAGAAAAAGTAGGCCTTAATCCAGGGTTTGGCAACTTTTTCCCACATGCAACAGGCCATGAGCAGGAGCTAGTAACCCAGCCACCACCATACATTGCAAATCTCTCCACTCCAGAGCTCAAGTTATCTTCACTTATTCTACCTCTCTGCAGTGAGGTATGTGTAGACACAAGAGGGCAGCAGGGAGAGCTGTGGACAGGATGACTGGCTCAATGCAGCTGCAAACCTCCCAATCCCTTGTGCTGCACAGGGACCAGGCAGCACCTTCCTAGGTTGAATCAGACGTCTTCATGGGCCAGATCCACGCAAGGGGCCACAGGTTGCTGACCCCTGCATTAAACTTTTACCTTTGCTCTCTAACTATACAATTACAGCATATAAATGAGAGGCAATATATGCAACTGTATCACTCTACTACAATGCATGCCTTTCCTTTCCTTTTATTTTATTATTTATTTTATTTTATTTTTTTTTTTACACATAGAGACATGTAAAGTACACACCTTTTCACTAGTTAGGAACTTCGCAAAGTACACATGCTCCCCTCCTGTTTTCAGCTCTTCTAGCTTCTTCCGTGAGGCCTGTGTGTCATCCAACTTGTAGCTTTTAAAAACAGCCAAAACTTCTTCTGAATACTGTAAAGCAAGGGTATGTCACAGAAAAGTTCAAGTACTGTATTTTGTTTTCATTAGAAAAACTTTAATGGAGCTGATCCCAAAAGGTTCCAAGCAAGTAAATTTATTTCTAAGTTTGCTATTCACTACAAATAGTAACACTGGACTGCAGTGTTGGCCAAGGCAGTCAGGTACTCCAATTCAAAAAGATGACAAATATTCTTCAGATGAAAACATTTTGCTCAGGAAAAGTTGACAGCAAGCCTCATGAATCATTTCAGAATTGGACAGAAATCCAAACCAAGCTGTTCTTCAAGAATGTTACTGAAATGATACTTCAAGAAGCTCCTCAAAATGCAAGTAATTTGCCATCTGTTGAGGAAGGGCTTAGTTGGTTTTAAGACAGCATTACTAAAACTATGGGTATGGTTTCTAACAGTGAAGGCTAAGAGGCAAGTTCATTTCAAAGCTCATACTTGTCCCCATTTCAAGTTCCCATTTTCTAATACTAGCACACAATCCATACCCTCTAGTCTGAAAATCCTCAAACTTCCTCCAGGCTTAATGGAAAATGTGCACATGGAAAAAACAGAATTGAGACTCAATTTGAATTACATGGGGTAGACAAAATTTTAATTTCATGGGGTACCTTTACACTTTCTGCCGAGTTCCAATCAGAACGCGTTGGTGCAGACTCAAATAACTGAGTCTGCTGGAGCGGTGTGCTGCAGTGTTACATGTATTCAGCGGCCCGTGTTTCAAAATGGCAGCAGGGGCACTTTAATTATAGCTCATTCAATGAGCTGGAATCCCATGGTGTCTAGAAATTTGGGGCCACTACATTTTCAAAAGCAAGTGTTTCAAAACTTCACACTTCTCAAGTGCTTAGTTTTCCATGGAAGCAAATACACTAGCTACATTTGAAACAGTTTAGCCCAATAAGTTAAAAAGATCGGATGTTGTTATTCTTGACATGGTGGTGTACTCCTGTCTGTCTGGGTGCATAAGAACTTTATCAAGAATGCTTTTAATGCTACACACTTAGACACTAGTGCACTTGGCTTTGCATATGTCTCAGCAGATTAACAGGTAAGAGTTCATCTTATTACTCATGACTGTACTTTAAGATTAATTAAGTATATTTTTAAAGTATAATTGTAATGACAATGCATTTTCATTTGTATAAATGGCAGGAAATAATATCTCTCTTCTTTGTTAGATGCCCTATTCTAGGTATATAAAAATGTAATTCATTAATCCAACTAATTTTGCACAAAAGGTACACAATAAAATAGGAACATGATTTACCTTAAGAAAAGTTTTCCATGAGACCTTCTCATAGCACTGCACTGGATTCCTAAAGTAATCTTGAAGTGACCAGAATTTTCTATACAGGTTGTAATCTATTGGAATGGAACTGAAAACAAAAGGCTTCATTCTGAATGCAGCTTTCAGAGATATGCTAGACAAATTATGTCCATTCTTACAATGCAGAACCACAGAAAATACCAGTATTCTTGTAAGTCAGATAAATGAAGAGCCAATAATCCTGGACAACAGGACTATACTCATTTTAGCTGCTATTTAGGAGGAGACCACTTCTCCACCCCCCACACAATAGGCCTGTGCAAATAGGGAAGTAATCAATTGGTATTCAACTGATTCGGAGGACCGTAATTGGATTTGGAGATTCGGATCACTGTCCCGAATTGATTCGGCTGAATCAACACCAATTCAGAGAGGAGATTCGGCCATAAACTATAACGGGGAATCACTGAAATACCTATAACTTTGTCATGTTTTGGCCGATTTGGATAAAAATTGCAGGGATGGTGCCCCTTCTGAGGGCATGAAGCCTGCCAAGTTTTGAGGAGATAAGTGCAGGGGTCACTGGGAAACTGCACTTGAAAGCAAAACTCGTGTCACATGTATGTGTTAAGGCACAGTGGGGTGAAAACTGCAGGGATGCTAGCCTCTGCTGAGGCCATGGAGCCCGGAGGTTTGAAGGAGATAGGTGCAAAGGCTTCTGGGAACTGGCTGCTGAAAGGCAAAACTCACAACACAGGTGACACTGCTTGTTAAGGCGCGCCCTCACTAGCACTGGGGCCTCTACATGACATGGTAGCATGCCCCAATGAGGTCTCCTCCTCCCCTACAGCCTCACCCTAGTCCACCACTTTAAATAACAACAGGTAAGCAGTGCACTACAGCACAGTAGCACCAGCAGCATCTCAGGCAGCCAAACTGTCACAGACTAGAGCCTTTCTTTCCTTTCCTGCAGGAGCTTCTTCTCCAGCAGCTGCCAAAGAACTCTCTGTCAGCCCCTGGCCTGGGGCTTAGATGTGCCCATGGCCCTGCATCCTTCCAATCATCTGACCGGGGACAGGTGCTAGGGGTATTGGTCTAAGGACATGGTACTGGCAGCCAAGGTCCTTTGGGTCAATCTGGTATCTTTTAGTAGACCAACTGAATAGTTAGAGAAATATATCTTAGCTTTCGGGTTGAAAAACTCTTTGTAAGGCCGAGGAAGCACCTGCAGTTGGTGTGTGTGCTGTTCCTGGATGGAAGGAATAGTAAAGAAGCCAGAGGCTGGCATGGAATGCAGGCAAGAAAGCCAGTCAGTGAAAATGGAAATGAAGGCATCACAGGGTGAGGGACAGGCTGGGGTAGGGGGGAAACGGGAATGTAGTAGGTAAAAGTGGAGAGGTACCTGGGGAGTCAGATGGCCAGCAGGTTGTAGTGTGTCATAAATCCAATGTCTATATTGAGTCCATGAGTTTCTGCATATCCAATCCTTTCCAAGAACATAAAGTAGCAAGAGACTGACTAGGTAGGAAGCCAAGCCAGTCCAGTACCTTTCAGACGCTGTTGTTCAGGCAGAAACAGCTCACAAAAGGCAAAGAAAGCCTGCAGACAGTGTCTTATATGCTGTTTCTACATCCCTCCCACAGAGGGAAAGATCACAGTCACTGGCCAGCTAGAGATGTCAGTCTTTCCCACCCTGCTTCCCCTTCCTCTTCTCAGTTTCTGTTCCCCTGAAAGACTGCCTTCCGAATCTCCAAATCTTTTCCGAATTGATTCAGAGGTTTTTTCTTTTCCCGATTCGATTTGGTGATTTGGCCTCCGAATCGGGCTGGATCTTCTCCGAATCGAATCACAGACTGAAGCTTTGCACACCCCTACCACACAACTTCAACAGTACCCCAAGGAACGAAGAGGGAGGCAGCTTCCTCTCAAAGCATATAATAATGCTCTGTAGCCAGGCTATGGATATCTGAAAGTAATATGCATCTCTTTCCTTCTCCAGGAAACCCCCATATAAACAGGCTGAGATGCATTCTGGCAGTGCTTGTATCTTACAATGGCTAGAGAAACAGGAGACTAGAAACTGGATTTCAATACAGACTTTGGAGCTAGTAATTACTCTGCAATTACCAGAATTTGCCTTTTTCAGTTAAGTGCTAAACCCCTGCAAGTCCCTTCCAACCCTACTTCTGTATGACTCTAAGGATCCCAGGATTGGGGAACTGCTCCCTGATCCCAGGGTCCCAGTGCACCAGAAACCCAGGATCAAGGAGCCTCTCCCTGAGCCTGTTTTCCTGGCACACTGCAATGTCAAATAAACACACGTGCAGTCCAGCTGGGCTGCAGACACAAGTTTTAAAGGTCCAGGAATGCTGGGACTCCAGGATCAAGGAACTTCATCCTAATTCCAGAGTCCCAGCATGTTGGGACCTGTAAAAACTGCCTGTATAGCTGGGCTGTGCAAGCAGTTTTATAACATCTCCGGTGCATGGAAACCCCAGGATCAGTGAGTCTCTCCCAATCCAGGGTTCCCATGCACCAGGGCTGTCAGGAAACCACATGTGCAACTGGGATGTACATGCAGTTTATAAGTCTCCATACATGAAAACCACAGATGAAGGAGCCTCTTTCAAATCCCAGGGTCCCAGTGTACCTGGAAAAAACCTATCTGAAGCCTAGCTGCATGTCCACTTTTTAAAAGTCTGGGTCACAGCGAATGTGATATCACAGAGATACGTCCTGATGTTGGCCTCATAGCACTTGCCTCTCCCTGCCTCCAGATCCTTCCTATTGATAGGGTAGGTGACAGCTGTGTCCCAGAGCCTGAGGCTGCCCCATGCCAGATCCTGACACTCAGCTGAACACTGGGACCTATCATGGTTCAGCCCTGACATGCCACACATTCAGAGGTGAGATATTAATAAGCCCAAAAGAAGTTATGCATATGTAGAATAATTATGTGGCTCATTTGGTTTATTATCATGCCATAAATTAATCTGAAAATCTGGCAGGGTTACTATTTGTGGTGTGATTACACGTTACTGTGTTAATCACAGTATATTAGAGGGGGGGCCTCAGACAATCTGTAGATGTGGATTCTCTACCAGCCTTTGGGTTAAATGGTGAGAACAAAGCAGATGAGATGAACTTTGCCAGGGGAAAATGAGAGACCTTTTTAAATATGATTATGCTACTGCTGGAAAATAGCCACTTGAAAGAAAACATAAATGCTGCAAACCCCACAGTAAATACTGTGATTCACATTTTGCCAACTAGACAACTGAGACAAAGTCCACAAGGAGACAGATGCATGTCAAAGTAATAAGGAAAAATCACATCCAGGTGATTTTTACCCCATTACTTCTACCTCTCTGATTACCGTCGCTAAAACAAGTTAGAATATTATTTATTTTTCTCTAGTTTAATTAACTCATGTAGCAGATTTTTTTAAAAGATTATTAGATTTTGAATTGGTGTTTATTGATCATTTTGCTTGGAGCTGCAGAATGCATGAACTGTAAAGAGAATTCCCAGTTCCTGGCTCTAAGCCTGTTCCTCTTATAGGCCTTGGTTCACAACAACACATAAACAAGTACTCTACCACCTTCCTGAACTATGGCATCATTTATAATGTAGCTTTTATATTAAGAGTCCCTTTGTGAGCATACATTAACAACATTTCTTGCTCTAAAGAAATGCAGGGCACACCTTCCTCAGAAGCATCTGTCTGTAGCAATACTTCCAACCTTTAGAACATTATTAACAATAACAGATTTGCTGAAGTGTTTTTCATTCCTCTCATCCCACAAGTTAAAGAAAGCAATCTTGGTATATGTCATCCCAGCTATTTGTGTATTTCAATAGATTGTTATTTGCTCATCTGCATCTACTTAACATTTAGCTGATCTGAACTGAGATTAGAGGTGCACTGATATATTGGTCCACATCGTATTGACACTGATAAAAGGAAAACTGACCTTATTGGCAACTGGCTTTTTTTGGCTGATGTGGCCGATAACGTTGCCAATAAATGGCGAGTGCATGGGCGCAGCCGTACCATGCACGTGGCCAGGAGTGCAGCCCAGCAGCAGAGAGCAGCATCCAGCCAGGAGGTCTGTTGTGGGGAAGGAGTGTGGGGGTGCAGATCAAGGCCGCCATGCTTAGGGGAGTGGGACCGAGGCAGGGGCAGGTGCTGCACAGCTGAAGTGGGGGCATGGGACTGAGCCATAAGCGGCTCATCCAGGGGGTGCAGGTGGCTCCTAACACTATATACAACCCCGGGGGAGGCATGTGCACCCCAGATCTGTGTGCAGGGTGAGGGCAGGCTGCCACTGCAGACTGGGGCTGGGAGCGATACTGGGCTTTTCCTGGTGGGGGCATTGGGCAAGGGCTGCACTCTGGGAGGTGGTGGCAGTGCAGGGAGGGGGTGCTATGGAGTGGACTAAAACCACCCCAAAATTCACCATAGTCCCCCGCTGAATCCCACTCCTAGCACTGCCACTATCCGCCCTGAGCACAGCCATGGTCCAACCCCGCTGCCAGGAAGAGCCCAGCACCACCCTGAGCCCCAGCCCAGTGGCAGCCTGCTCTCACCCTGCATGCAGATCTGGGGGGCACATGCCCCGTCCATGGTTCCCCTGGGGGCATGCGCAGCATTGGAGCCACACCCCTCTCCCATACCCCAGATGAACCACTTGTGGCTCCATCCTGTGCCCTGTCCCGCCTGTGCAGCGCCTACCCCTGCCCCACTCCCTTCCTCGCTGCAGGGGTTTTGATCTGCTCCCCCAGTCTTTCCCTCCCACCATGCCCCTTCCCCGCAACAGACTTACTGGCTGGACGCTGCTCTCCAAGCTGCATATCAGCAATCAGATCGGTATCAGCCGATATGTTTTATTAATATTCGGCCACAGGCATCAGTCCAAAAAACCTTTATTGGTGCACCCCTACCCGAGATCCATATAACAGAATCCTGGTGCACTGCCTTTCACATTGTAATGGCTACTACTACGTGCCTACATTTACTGCATTCTAATTCAGTCATTTCTCTTATTCAGTAATATTACTAACAACAACTCATTTGTGTAACCACGTCTCAAAGAACAGAACAAGATGATTAAAGGATACCCCCCTGTGGGCAACATTTAGACAGTATTTAATAGCACATTTCTTATCAAACTAGTTAAACTAAGAATTTCCCTAATGACCTGAGCAAAAGTTTGCTGTATAAATATTGACACAAACGTCTATTAGTAAAAAGCACACTGCATTCAGTGCACTGGTTTCATCCTTCCATTTTAGTCAAGTGCAGCCACAAATCTATAGGATGTGGATAATCTGGAAAAAAATCCCACACAAAGAGAACTAGTTTTTTTTCGTATTAAACAGGAGCTTTTGTTGACTAAGAACAAATGCAATTGCTCAAATCAATTTAAGTGAGTGATTTTCAAATCTCAGTGCAGTCAGATGCCATTCAGATGCTGATAAGCAGTTAGTTAAAGATTAAATGGTTTGTAAATGTATCATTTTTGCATTCCTTTTAGAGCAGTATTTTAATGTAAGTTATATGTTGTTCAATTGAATTTAATAACATTAGATAAAATCTTCAATTTAGTCTTCAACTAAATTAACTGAGCTGAGCATATGATAAACTCTAAAGCCAGAATCTTCATATGTGGATTAATGATTCAAATAAGTAATCACATCTGAGAACTACGGCCTAAATACTACAGTATCATAGATGAGATAGACTGTTTAATTGGGATCCAAATAATTCTACTGACTGATATTATCATGTAGTCTTTTATTTAATACTACTACTAGCAACTTCTTATTACTTTTGCTAACACACTTTCCTTTCCTTGCTTGTTTGATGGCAGTAATGTTTTAAGGTAATAGTTGACAATTTTCTGAAAACAGCAGAGTTCTGACTCCAGCATGCAATGGTGCTTCTTAAATCAACAATGTTTAAGCTAACACTGCAGGAGTTTTCATGCAGCTAACACTACTGAAAATTTTCACTTTATAACAGTTTTGACAGATAAACTAAACCTTTAAGCGCTCACCAACTTGTAGGAGCTTCATCATCACCCATTTCACCTTCTTCGACTTCCAGTCCTTCCTCTTTCTCCTCCGTGTGCTACAGGAACAAAAGGAGTACATTTAAAATGTACATGGAGCTTCTGTATTTTGAACTGCAGGTCACTCATGGTTCTAGTTTCCTATGCTTTCACTATTCACGATAACCATAAACTATCTTTTGAAAAATCTTTGTAAACTAACTACTGAAGTGCTGCTAAAGGATAGAGCAGCAAGTTCTGCAATTCAAGTTTTAAACCAGCATGAAAATTAAATAAAATCTTGCAGTGTAAGGCCCCATTAACATTTTTCCAGTAAGGAAACACCACAGGCAGACCTACTAATTCAGGAAGGACAAAAGAAGTCAGGAGAACTTCGGCAGGCTCTGCACCTCCACCTCCATAATGTGGAGGCATAGAGCCACATGACTGGACAACTCTGTAAGTGGGGAGGGGAGCTTCTGCCTGCAAGAGGTGGGCAAGTGGTTTGTGGGTGGGCATGGGGTTTGTGGGTGGGTATAGGCTGTGCACCATCAGGCCAGGCTGGCTGGCTCAGTGCCCCCACATGGGGCTTCCAGCACTCTAGCAGGAAGCTGCATGTGGAGACGAGCAAGAGCCCGCCTGACCCAATGGACGCAAGGCCCTTCCCCGCAACAGACTTACTGGCTGGACGCTGCTCTCCAAGCTGCATATCAGCAATCAGATCGGTATCAGCCGATATGTTTTATTAATATTCGGCCACAGGCATCAGTCCAAAAAACCTTTATTGGTGCACCCCTACCCGAGATCCATATAACAGAATCCTGGTGCACTGCCTTTCACATTGTAATGGCTACTACTACGTGCCTACATTTACTGCATTCTAATTCAGTCATTTCTCTTATTCAGTAATATTACTAACAACAACTCATTTGTGTAACCACGTCTCAAAGAACAGAACAAGATGATTAAAGGATACCCCCCTGTGGGCAACATTTAGACAGTATTTAATAGCACATTTCTTATCAAACTAGTTAAACTAAGAATTTCCCTAATGACCTGAGCAAAAGTTTGCTGTATAAATATTGACACAAACGTCTATTAGTAAAAAGCACACTGCATTCAGTGCACTGGTTTCATCCTTCCATTTTAGTCAAGTGCAGCCACAAATCTATAGGATGTGGATAATCTGGAAAAAAATCCCACACAAAGAGAACTAGTTTTTTTTCGTATTAAACAGGAGCTTTTGTTGACTAAGAACAAATGCAATTGCTCAAATCAATTTAAGTGAGTGATTTTCAAATCTCAGTGCAGTCAGATGCCATTCAGATGCTGATAAGCAGTTAGTTAAAGATTAAATGGTTTGTAAATGTATCATTTTTGCATTCCTTTTAGAGCAGTATTTTAATGTAAGTTATATGTTGTTCAATTGAATTTAATAACATTAGATAAAATCTTCAATTTAGTCTTCAACTAAATTAACTGAGCTGAGCATATGATAAACTCTAAAGCCAGAATCTTCATATGTGGATTAATGATTCAAATAAGTAATCACATCTGAGAACTACGGCCTAAATACTACAGTATCATAGATGAGATAGACTGTTTAATTGGGATCCAAATAATTCTACTGACTGATATTATCATGTAGTCTTTTATTTAATACTACTACTAGCAACTTCTTATTACTTTTGCTAACACACTTTCCTTTCCTTGCTTGTTTGATGGCAGTAATGTTTTAAGGTAATAGTTGACAATTTTCTGAAAACAGCAGAGTTCTGACTCCAGCATGCAATGGTGCTTCTTAAATCAACAATGTTTAAGCTAACACTGCAGGAGTTTTCATGCAGCTAACACTACTGAAAATTTTCACTTTATAACAGTTTTGACAGATAAACTAAACCTTTAAGCGCTCACCAACTTGTAGGAGCTTCATCATCACCCATTTCACCTTCTTCGACTTCCAGTCCTTCCTCTTTCTCCTCCGTGTGCTACAGGAACAAAAGGAGTACATTTAAAATGTACATGGAGCTTCTGTATTTTGAACTGCAGGTCACTCATGGTTCTAGTTTCCTATGCTTTCACTATTCACGATAACCATAAACTATCTTTTGAAAAATCTTTGTAAACTAACTACTGAAGTGCTGCTAAAGGATAGAGCAGCAAGTTCTGCAATTCAAGTTTTAAACCAGCATGAAAATTAAATAAAATCTTGCAGTGTAAGGCCCCATTAACATTTTTCCAGTAAGGAAACACCACAGGCAGACCTACTAATTCAGGAAGGACAAAAGAAGTCAGGAGAACTTCGGCAGGCTCTGGATCCCCACCTCCATAATGTGGAGGCATAGAGCCACATGACTGGACAACTCTGTAAGTGGGGAGGGGAGCTTCTGCCTGCAAGAGGTGGGCAAGTGGTTTGTGGGTGGGCATGGGGTTTGTGGGTGGGTATAGGCTGTGCACCATCAGGCCAGGCTGGCTGGCTCAGTGCCCCCACATGGGGCTTCCAGCACTCTAGCAGGAAGCTGCATGTGGAGACGAGCAAGAGCCCGCCTGACCCAATGGACGCAAGGGACAGACCCAAGGGAAA